GATTCACCTCATCTTTCATAGACCCATCCGCTGACACGTCCACTCCCAAATATCTGAATACATTCACCTCCTCCATACTCTCTCCCTCCAATCTGATATTCAATCTTTCATCACCTAATCTTTTTGTTATCCTCATAACTGTACTCTTTCCTGTATTCACCTTTAATTTTCTTCTTTTGCACACCCTACCAAATTCATCCACCAATCTCTGCAACTTCTCTTCAGAATCTCCCAAGAGCACAGTGTCATCAGCAAAGAGCAGCTGTGACAACTCCCACTTTGTGTGTGATTCTTTATCTTTTAACTCCACGCCTCTTGCCAAGACCCTCGCATTTACTTCTCTTACAACCCCATCTATAAATATATTAAGTTATTATTGGTGTGGATAAACGAGAAACAATTAGCAGGAGATACTCTTATGATGTTGATTATTTGTGAAAAGGCTAGGCAGTTGCATGACAATCTGGTAAAGAAATTGCCTGCAATGAGTACTGATAATTGTGAATATAAGGCCAGCAAAGGTTGGTTTGAGAGATTTAAGAAGCGTAGTGGCATACACAGTGTGATAAGGCATGGTGAGGCTGCCAGTTCGGACAAAATTGCAGCTACAAAATTCGTAAGTGAATTCAAGGAGTACATAGAGGCTGAAGGACTGAAACCTGAACAAGTGTTCAATTGTGACAAAACAGGCCTCTTTTGGAAGAAAATGCCAAAGAGGACCTACATTAATCAGGAGGAAAAGGGACTGCCAGGACACAAGCCTATGAAAGACAGACTGACACTCCTGTTCTGTGCTAATGCTAGTGGGGATTTCAAAGTGAAGCCATTACTAGTGTACCATTCTGAAAATCCCAGAGTGTTCAGGAAAAAGAATGTTATGAAGAGTAAATTGTGTGTGTTTTGGAAATCTAATAATAAGGTATGGGTTACAAGAGAAATTTTCATCGAGTGGTTCAATGAAGTGTTTGGCCCTAGTGTGAAGAATTACCTCCTGGAAAAGAAATTGGATCTCAAGTACCTCCTAGTAATGGACAATGCACCTGCTCATCCTCCAAACTTGGATGACCTAATTCTGCAGGAGTTTGGGTTCATCACAGTAAAGTTCTTGCCCCCGAATACCACTCCTCTCCTCCAGCCCATGGACCAGCAGGTCATTTCAAACTTTAAAAAACTCTACACCAAAGCAATGCTTGAAAGGTGCTTTAATGTGACCTCAGACACTCACTTGACCCTAAGAGATTTTTGGAAAGAACACTTCAGTATCCTCCATTGCATAAACCTTATAGGTAAGGCTTGAGAGGGAGTGACTACCAGGACTTTGAACTCTGCTTTGGTTAGTTCGTCATTGTCCTCCTCCACCAACTCTTACACATCCTCCCCACTAACCTCCAACCCAAAGGACTTCCCCAATGCCACAATGGATTCCTCAACTGGCATAGGATTCCCAGGGTTAGCCTCAAACCCTTCAAAATCCCTTTTGTCTACACATTCTGCCCACAGTTTCTTCCAAGCAGAGTTCAAGGTCCTCTTAGTCACTTCCTCCCAAGCCTTACCTATAATGTTTACACAATTGAGGATGCTAAAGTGATCTCTCCAAAACTCTCTTAGAGTCAATTGAGTTTCTGAGGTCACTACAAAGCACCTTTCAAACATAGCTTTTGTGTAGAGTTTTTTGAAGTTTGAAATGACCTGCTGGTCTATGGGCTGCAGGAGAGGAGTGGTATTAGGAGGCAAAAACTTGACCTTAATGAAGCTCATTTCCGCAGAAAGTCGCTCTGCCACGTCTGAAGGATGACCAGGAGCATTGTCTAATATGAGGAGGCACTTAAGGTCCAATTTATTTTCCAGGAGGTAATTTTTCACAGTGGGGGCAAATGCATGGTGTAACCAGTCATAGAAAAAGTCCCTAGTGACCCATGCCTTACTGTTTGCCCTCCACAGCACACACAAATTAGCCTTGAGGACATTGTTTTTTCCTGAACACTCTGGGAGTTTCAGAGTGATACACCAATAAAGGCTTCACTTTGCAATCACCACTAGCATTAGCACACATCAACAGAGTAAGCCTGTCTTTCATAGGCTTATGTCCTGGGAGTGCCTTTTCCTCCTGAGTAATATAGGTCCTGCTTGGCATTTTCTTCCAAAGCAGGCCTGTTTCGTCACAATTAAACACATGTTCAGGTTTCAGTCCTTCACTGTCTATGTACTCCTTGAATTCCTGCACATATTTTTCAGCCGCTTTGTGGTCCGAACTGGCAGCCTCACCATGCCTTATCACACTATGATATGTCACTACGATTTTTAAATCTCTCAAACCAACCTTTGCTGGCCTTAAATTCACTTACATCACCACTAGTTGCAGGCGTTTTTCTAATTAAATCCTCATGCAACTTCCTAGCCTTTTCACATATGATCGCTTGAGAGATGCTATCTCCTGCTATCTGTTTTTCGTTTATCCACACCAATAACAGTCTCTCAACATCTTCTTTCACTTGCGATCTCTGTTTCGAAAACAAAGTTGCACCTTTGGCAAGAACAGCTTCCTTGATTGCCATTTTCTTGGCCACAATAGTAGCGATGGTTGATTGGGGTTTTGTGTACAACCTGGCCAGCTCGGAGACGCGCACTCCACTTTCATACTTAGCAATGATCTCTTTCTTCATATCCATAGTAATTCTCACCCTTTTTCCTGTAGGGTTGGCACTAGAAGCTTTCTTGGGGCCCATGGTGACTTATTTTGCAAGTGCAATCACTAAAGAGGCTGCGATAATACGAAATGTTCCGATTGTATGCTTGGAAGTGACCGCGGTGGCTGGCTTGTAAACACTGGCACCCACGGAACAAGTGAGGCGGGCTCAGGCCGCACGTGGACGCATCTCGAACGAATCGCGTTGAGCGAGTTTTTTAGCGCTAGCCGAGGCAAAATTTTTGCGTTAAAATGTATCGCTAGGCGGATTTAACGTTATGCAATGCGTTCGTTAGGCGAGGGCCCACTGTACTCACTTATGTACTCCCACATCATAACTTGAATAATTATCTTGAACCTTTTATCCATTGTTGACAGGAATATGAATCATTATTTTCACAAAAAGCATTTTTGAATATATGAATAGTATATCTTTTGTCTTATACAAATTATATTCACTTATAATTAATCTACTGTACAACTATGATACAATCCTTTGTGTTAAGTAGTCTGTAAGCCAATAATGTTAAATCGGCCCATAATGCCTAGGCATAATAGAGGTTCTCTTTGCATTGGAACCCACTATTGTTAATACAAAATCTCAGTGTACTATTTGCAAAGACATAAAATAAATAATGTCTAGTTCTAAAGTAATTTGTAAGCATCATAATTAGTCTGCCTAAAATGCACAGAATGCCTGGAACTTTGTTATGTGCCTAATGATATTTTATTACATGGTAAGCTATATTTCGTATAATGCAGAAAAGAAATAAATTTGTATTGTATTGCACTGAATTGTGAGTTGAGTGGAAATTCTGTGCTCTCCCACTCTCTACTTATTTAAGCTCTGGTGAAAACATTTTGCAGGTAATTCTTTTCACTGAACTTGCAATGGTTCTCAGTGCCAGATCCAGATATTTTCCACCTGGGAAATATAACTGATCACACTGGCATACACCAGACATGACCTTATTGCACACAAAGGTGCAATAAGGAGGAGTAACTGAGTAACTGGGACCTTATCACTAGCAGCTCTTGTTCTACTAGAGTTGATCATGTAGTAGTACATGAAGATTTAAGAGTACATCAATCTTCCCACATCATTACCAGTAATGCTGCACATTACTAGTAAAGAATATTATTATTTCACTCTTCTTTGCCAGCTCCTCCACAGACTTGTTTTAAGGAAACATCATCAGGTACACACATTATATTCTTTAAGTTTGTTTCAACACATGATATGAGTAAGCTCTTGTGCAACCACTATTATATAGTGTAAATGCAATTGATAAAGTCCATCCATAATTAAACAGCACATGAGAAGCCCTTCACAGTATGTGCTATTAAATTTTGAACGCACTTTTTCAACTGCATTTGCAAAAAAAAAAAAAAAAAAAAAACTTCATAAGAGAGCTCGCTGTAGATCAGAGAGCATTAACCCTTAAACAGTCCAAACGTATATATATGCTTTTTCAACATTTGAAAGTATGTAAAAAAAAATGTACATCATCTTTTTTTTTTTTTACATTTGAAAATGTGTAAAAAAAACTTTTATCTACATTTTTTTGTTACATTTGAAAATATGTAAAAAAAAACATAGATCTACTTTTGGAGCGCTACGAATTTGAACGTTGATCTATTTGGACCGTTTAAGAGTTAACTTGCAGTAGAAGTATTGATATTGAAAAACTTACAAAATGTATACTTCATGGAGATGATGCAAAATATATGTGGCAACTGGTGAAATGTGAGGTGAGAGGAGCAATAGGTACAGTATTACACAGGAGCAGTGATATGGCTACTTATTACTGGCCATAACTAAGGTGCTCTCAGTTGTTGTTATACCTGAGATAATCCATTGTAAGACAATATTATACCATTATACTAATCTGGCACCTAATCTCTCATTCACTAGATGTAAAGAAAAAAAATTGAAGAAATCCATTAAGTGTTAAATGTGAGGAATGAGATACTTGAGCAACATTTGGGAATCTTTATTGTGGAAGGATTTCACTAGCCAGTGGCTTCATAAGTCCAATACAGAGAAGAACGATGGAAGATGAGGAGGAGTTCAGAGTAATCAGTCTCTCAGCCTTAAGTCAGTGTAGACTGAACACACTGACTCCAGGCTGAGGAACTAATTACCTCAAACTACTCCTCGTCTTCAACCATTCATCTCTGTATTGGACTGATGAAACCACTGGCTAGTGAAACCCTTCCACAATAAAGATTCCCAATGTTGCATAAGTATCTCATTCTTCAAGTTGTGGGTTGTCTAAACCATTTACAAGATATGAGAGTCAAGTGTACGGACCTATGAGCATGGACTATGGTACCACCACCAGTGGTGTTGCCTCCAGCTACCAGCACCAGGTCAGTGAAGGCGGCACAGGTCAGAAGGCCATGGAGATCCTCACGCAGGGTGCTCACCACTGTCGAGGGCTCCTGCACCTTGGGCTTGGGCGGGCAGAAAGGCACCTGCAAATTGAGTGTAATGCATTATAAATCAGAGAAATCAATATATAAAAAGTAATTTACATAGTAAATAAGGAGACAAACTTCCTACTTTTATGTTTCCTAAGTTCCAATTTAACTTTTATTTATTTCAAATTACTGTACAAGATAAACAATAATTAGAAAACTCATAGGATGCATAGCAATTTTGGGCAAACTTAGACTAGTACTAATTTTTAGGCAAACTTAGATTAGACTTAGACTAGTACTTAATGAGTCTACTACAGGGTATTAACCCTTTCAGGGTCAAGAGGCCCTCTCCTAAACTTGTTCGCAGGGTCAAAAATTTTTTTCGGAAAAAAAAAAAATGAAATTTGATGGAAAACTTACGGAATTATGCTCTTGCAAAGTTAGCGGTCTTGCCAATGTTTACGCATCGGTGATTCCGCCCATTACATTAGACCTTAGTGCAATTACAACTGAGAGTCTTGTGCTATTTTTAATTTGTATTTTTATATTATTAGTTTATACCTAGTTGTACTTTAGCTCATTCCAGCACAACACATAGACAACACCAACTTCATTATGTGTATTAGTGACTATACTCTACATGACCAAAATGCTATAGCTATATACTTGTCCAAACTTCCCACCACTACAGATATCAGTACTAAAACTCAACACACAACTCAGGATATAAATAACCATAATTTAAACCTAGAAGATGATTGATCACGTTGACCCTGATCTAAACCTACATAATCTGACACACAATCAAAACCTATTGGAAAGTAACTGCCTTTACTACACAGCATCACAAGCCAGCACTATCCTAAACAATGATAAAAGTCTATCAGTACTTAACTACAACATCAGGTCCTTAAGCAAACACTATGATGACCTCCTGGCACTCCTTGAATCACTAAAGACACCCTTCTCCTGCATTATTCTTACCGAGACCTGGCTAAAACAGGACACAATAGATATCTACCCTCTACCAGGATACACAGCAATCCACAACTGCAGGCCATACCAAGTTGGGGGTGGTATAGCAATCTATTACTCTAACCAATTATCTTGTATTAGCACCAATTGCTTTAGTGATGAATATGGAGAATACATTTTTGCTAATTTTACTGTAAAAAACCTTAAGACGCCTATAACAATCGGTGCCATTTACCGGATACCCCACACTAACATCCCAAACTTCAGTGAGAAATTAAAGGCACTAATAACAAACAGACAAATGAATAAGCACCACCTTCTCTTAGCTGGAGACTTCAACATCAACCTTGGCCAACTAGATGATCAGCCTGTAACTGATTTCATCAACAATATGAACAACACACTTCTCATACCAACAATAACTAAACCAACCAGGCTCACTGAAACAAGTGCAACCATAATAGACCACATATGGACCAATATACTAGCCCCCCTTAAATCAGGGATAATCACAGATAGCACTACAGACCACTACCCTACCTTCCTCTTGACAAACATTAGTAAACCACCACTTGAATACAACAAAGTCTCATTTAGACTCCATGATGAGGCCTCAATAAGGAAGTTCACAGCTGACCTAGAGACTGTTGACTGGCCTACAGAATCTCCAAGGCCAATGGTATTGACAACTGGACAGACATTTTTCTTAACAAACTACTTAGACTATACAACAAACATTGTCCTATAAAAACGAAACAGATCACAAACAAACGGCTTGGTTGCCCATGGCTAACCAGCAGCATTCTGAAATCCATTGATAAGAAACACCAATATGAAAAGCAATATAGACAGGGCTTAATACACAAAGATATTCTTAAACACTATTCATCAGTCCTCACCAAAGTAATAAAGAAAGCCAAACAACTATACTACTCCAGTAGATTCACTGACACAAGAGGAGATATAAAAAAGACCTGGAAAACACTCTCTCAGATTCTAGGGACCCACAAACTGAAAAAAAACAAGAATATTGTCCTAACTAAACCTAATGAAACACCACTGCAACCCACCGACACAGATAACAAGATAAACGACTTCTTCTCAACCATAGGTTCTAATCTCGCCAATAAAATCCCACGTACCAATGCCCATGCCGGGGACTACCTAGATGGAAATTTCCCAAATTCCTTCTATCTTGCTCCAACTGAGCCCACGAAAGTCACAGAGATTATAAAGTCACTTAAAAATAACTCAGGGAATCTGTCTCATGTCCCACCATTATTGTACAAGAGAGTGGCCCATGTCCTCTCGCATGCTATCTCATTGCTTTTTAACAAGTCACTAGAAGCTAGCACCTTCCCGAAACTACTCAAGACGGCAAGGGTTACACCAATACATAAAGGTGGTGACCCTACAGATTTAAACAACTATAGGCCAATATCAAACTTACCAATGCTATCCAAAATCTTTGAGAAACTCGTGCACAGGAGACTATATTCATTTATAACGTCACAAAACATACTCAACCCCTGCCAATTTGGATTCAGGAAAAATAAAAGCACTAACGATGCAATTATAAAAATGCTAGATCTGCTTTACACAGCATTGGAAAATAAGGAATATCCACTAGGAATTTTTATTGACCTAAGAAAAGCTTTTGACACAGTAGACCACGGCATCCTACTCCACAAACTTGACCATTATGGTACAAGAGGCCATGCGCTTGCATATTTCAAATCTTACCTTACTAATAGGTATCAGTATGTCACCATTAAAGACACAGCATCAACAACACAGCCACTTGATACTGGAGTTCCGCAGGGAAGTGTCCTTGGTCCCCTGCTCTTCCTCATATACATCAATGATCTTCCAAACGTATCTCGACACCTGAACCCCATTCTCTTTGCTGACGACACGACTTATGTCATCTCTCACCCTAATCTTGCAACCCTCAACACCATTGTTAATGAGGAGCTGATCAAAATATCGACTTGGATGACAGCCAATAAACTTATGCTTAACGTTGACAAATCCTACTACATTATGTTTGGTAGCAGAGCAGGAGATGCGCAAATTAACATTAAGATCGACAACACTCTAATTACCAGGCATAATGAGGGCAAATTCCTAGGCCTATACCTCGACAACAACCTGAACTTCAGCACCCATATCCAACACATAACCAAAAAAGTATCCAAAACGGTTGGGATCCTCTCCAAGATATGATACTACGTGCCGCAAACTGCCCTTCTCACAATATACCATTCACTTATATATCCATACCTCACCTATGCTATCTGTGCTTGGGGTTCAACTGCAGCAACACACCTAAAGCCAATAATAACCCAACAAAAAGCCGCAGTAAGAATAATCACTAAATCCCATCCCTGGCAACACACCCCCCCACTCTTCATAGATCTAAACTTACTCCCTGTTCAGTACATCCACAGTTACTACTGTGCAATCTACATCTACAGGACCTTAAATTCCAATATTAACCTTGACCTAAAACGCTTTCTTGATAGTTGTGACAGAACCCACAGGCACAACACCAGACACAAACATCTCTATGACATTCCCCGTGTCCGACTAAACCTTTACAAAAATTCAATGTATGTCAAAGGCCCTAAAATCTGGAACACCCTACCTGAAAATTCCAAAACTGCAGACACATTCATCACCTTCAAAACTACCATCAGAAAACATCTTATCTCCCTGATACACCCTGTCAACTAATAATACGAATACCACCTGGTGGTTCACACTTACACTCACTCACCCATTTGACCATAAACAGAAATATCAATCTTAAATCTCAAAATAATGAATCTTAACTAGTCAAAAGTTGGCCTGTGATACTCCAATACTGAAACTAATGTATAGTGCCAAAACAAAAGCATTCACATTGCTAAACTCACAACTAGTATTTAGTCACTTAGCCATAATACCAACTTATCTCATAATTCTGTAACATTTTAAACCTAAGATTTAATATAAGTCTGCCCGAAATGCCTAGCCATGCTAGGCGTTCTAGTGGTACACTCTGTAATTATTATTTTACTACATGTAAACCACACAATAACCAAATTCTGTAAACTCAGCATTGTAATACTTATAGAGAATAAAGTTTGAATTGAATTGAATTGAATTTGAAAAATGTTTCCTTACACCTACTGTCCCTGTTCACCTAGCAGTAAGTAGGTACAGTGAAACCTCAATATTCATACATCCCTATATTCGTACAACTTGATATTCGCCCAATTATTTGAAAAAAAAAAAAAAAAAAAAAAAAGACTCAGTATTAGGACGTTGCCCTGATATTCAACCTAAAGAAAACGGTCCACCCGGATAAAGTCCAACAAAAGCAAAGCATCAAGTGCTCAGTCTCTCATCAGCATTCATTCATTAAGCATCATTTGTACAAGCTCCACAAATTTTTTGCTATTTCATTATTCTGTGGTGGTTTTTAAATATTTTCATTGAAAATAAGTAATCATGGCCCTAAAAAGAGTAATGATCCAAACAAGTCTGAAAGGAAAGCAGCGAGAACAATTATAATGAAAATAAAGGATTCACCACGAAGTGGAAAAGTGGAACATGTGTGTCAGACCTGGCCACTCAATATGGTATGGCAAAATCCACCATATCATCCATATTGAAAAATAAAAAGGTAATAAAATGGGCTGATGTGGTGAAAGGATAATTGAAGAAATGTAAAAACTTTTGTAAATGAGGATTAACGAAAAACAATTGGCTGGTGACAATGTTTCTGCAACAATAATGTGTGAAAAAGCAAAGCAGTGATATAGTGATCTTAGGCAAGACACCCTGAGAAACAGTGCTGAAAGTGATGAATTTAAAGCAAGTAGGGGCTGGTTTGATAGGTTTAAAAAGAACAGTGCGATTCACAGTGTAGTAAGGCATGGGGAGGCTGCCAGTGATAACAGATGAGGCTGAAAATTTTGATAAGGAATTTGAAACCTATGTAGACATTGAGGGATTTATTCCTCAACAAGTTTTTAATTGTGATGAAACCAGCCTCCTCTTTTGGAAAAGAATGCCTAAGAGAACCTACAATGCACAAGAAGAAAAATCACTACCAGGACATAAGCCCATGAAAGACAGGCTAACAAGGGACTGCAAAATTAAACTGTTGCTAGTCTATAGTCTACCACAATGAAAATCCAAGGGTGTTTATGAAAAACAATGTGATAAAAAGTAAACTATGTACTGTGGAGGGCATTCTAGATATGACAGTAACAAGCCATAAGCTTAATGATATAGTTAGTAGGATAAATTAAGCTAGGGACACTTCTAAGTCAAGGAAGACTGTGTTCTTTGACTTCAAGATATGAGTAACCCAGCATCATTTGCTAGTGCTAGATGCTAGGCCAGCAAATATTTCCCACCCAGAGCATGGAAAACTAAGTTGGGCAGTGAGTTACCAAAGCAAGGTCATGCTACATTGAAAAGTGGAAAACTGTGGAAACAGTAGTAATGGAAGTACCCGTTAGCATTAATTCTAGTCTGTGGTCTTGTTTAACTACAGGCAACAATAGTGGTAGTGCTTCAACTACTGTAAGACAATAAGAGAATTGAGGCAAGTACGCTGCATTGAAACACAAATTTCATGAAGGACTCCAGGGTGCAGCTGCTGGAATCCTAAGATCATCAACCTATAGGATAAGTAACACCTTTTTTACTGATATTCACCCAAAGTTCATAGAGTGATCTTTGGACTTATACAAAGTCCCCACAATAGTCAAGGAAGGCAGCAGCAGCATCATCATAATGTTTCTCTCCTAAGGGGAGGTTTTTAGCAAATTGTTTTAGCCATGATATTATAACTTTTCTTCATGCATCATGTTTCCTAAGTTCAATAAAGGAAAAAATCTATTAGTCAGACAGTAACTGGGAGCAAACACACCAGTAATGTAGGTCACTGGATGCACTTGAGTTTGGTCATAAGTGGATGACTGAGAGTGAACTCACCTGTAATGCAGGCCAATGGATGCACCTGAGGATGGTCATGAATGGATGACTGAGAGTGAACTCATCTGTAATGTAGGTCACTGGATGCACTTGAGGTTGGTCATGAGTGGATGACAGAGTGAACACACCTGTAATGTAGGTCGCTGGACGCGCTTGAGGTTGGTCATCCAGAAGCGCTGTTGTCTCCGGGATATGAGGGCGGCTCTGATCACATTGTCAAATACCTCATTTACTCCAAAGTAAGTAAGCACCGATGTCTCATAATATTCGACACCAATTTCCCTAGCAACTGCGCGACCTTCACATGGCATAACCAAGTCACACTCACGTACAGCTCTGGAGAATTAAAAAAATTGAACAAGAACATCAAAATTTGTATATTCAAGATAAAGAAATAGAAATGAGTACCTCACCAAAAAATACCACACACACACATAGTAAAAAAAATTATTCATATCAAAATCAAAAACTATTTCTTTGCTAAGGTTACATGTGTGGTTTACATTTCATAATTTGATTAGTACAAAGAAAGCCACTATCATGCTGAGGCATTTCGGCAGACTTAACCTAATACAGCAGGGCCCCGCTTTACGGCGTTTTGCTTTACGGCGTTCCGCTAATACGGACATTTCAAATTATGACCAAAACTCGCTATACGGCTCCCCCCACCTGTCTTTCTAATACAGTCACAGCGGCCCACCGAGTTTGTTTACATTCTCCCTGAGCACATCTCCTTATTATGTCTGGAAACTTTCCAAAATTTCAAGTGTTTTAAAGTTATTGTATATTTTATATGATTGATTTGATAATTAAACATGTGTACACCTGCCTAAATAAATTACCACTGTGCGGCATGTAGGTACACATTAAAATCACAAAGTCTTCTACCTTGATGCAAAAAATAATAATAAATAATAAAATAATAAAATTTATAAATAAAAATAATAATCTTTTGGGCGCATTAATGTCGCATTTTACGTTAATAAACATTTCCCTTAATCTATCTTATATTTTTTTCAAAATTATATAGAAAAAATTATTAACCACAAACAGTCATGCACCCACAGTAAAAAAATTTATACCAATATATCGGGAATTTTACCAAACGGTTTGTAGAATGTCGGAAAAATTTACTTTTCTCTACCCGCACCTTCTAGGAAAAACTTAAAAAAAATATTCCTTTCGTATGCCTTCACTTTATAGTTTAAAAATTTGTACAAAACTTGACACATGTAAAGGTATTTGTTTCGTGATTTAATTATTATAATAATAATAAAAAATTATAAGGTAAAAGTTTCACAAACTCTTAAAATGTACATGAATGAAAAAAACTGGACACGTTTAAAATACCGCTATTTTGCCTGACCGAGTGATCGCCACAACCTTTCATTTTGTTTGTTTACCTGTTTGAGCCGGGGTATCATTAAATGTTGTATATTCGTTAAATTAAAAATTTTCATTAAAACCCTCCGTGATATTTTTTTTTTAAAAAATTTTATAAAAAACGATAATAACATAAATACATAACAACAATGTGTAGAGAACCGGATAAGCAAAAAATCAAATGACTTATTCCATTGCCCCTTTACTCAAGCTCATTTCTTCAAAATGATGTTTCATGAAATGGGAGTGTTTTTCTTTATTATTCTACCGTATCAAAGTAGAGCAACCCGACACAATGTAACTTGTACACAAACCAGACGTGACACTGTTTTAAAAAACTTTCCTTCGCCCGGGTTTTTTTACATAAAATTGCGCCTTCCCTCCTCATGCACTCATTCTTTCTCTCTGGATGGGAGCCTGGCTGCTACCATCATAACCACTTGATATTTTACAATAAAAACTACGCATCACCCCATATTTTTAAGGGAAGTAAGAGTGAACTGTTATACATTTTTTTCGCTCTGGGATGCTTAATTCATAAATAGTATGTGTGGGGGGGTTGGCCCGGGATGTAGCCTGGCTGATTACCCTAAACCCACTTTTATTTCTTTCAATTAAAAATACTTTTCTCACCCTAGATTTAAGACTAAAATATTTTAAAAGGGAAATAAAAAGGGGGATATGTGTTATTGTACTTTTTTATTTTTTTTTGTGCCCGGTCTATTTTCTAACTAAAATATGTTAGGTAAACTTTTATCTAGTGTTGTATCATTTTAAGTGGAAAAAAAAGGGTGTTCCCTTTATGGCGATTTCCCTTTACGGCGGTAGCCCGGAACCTAACCGCCTAAATGGGGGCCCTCCTGACTTAGAGACTACTTAAGTCTAGCAGCTGAAAAGGGTTAATTACAAATGCTCAAAATTTTTTCTCTATTATTAATATATTAGTTAAATATGATACAAAAAAAACATTTTTAAATTTCTAAAAAGGGTTAATAGTTAAGGGGTAATAAAATATTTGGGAAGCCTTTAAATTTTGGTTTGAGTTTAGCATAGGTGGTAGGTTGTTATTGAAGAGAGGTATTTTTGATATAGTCTTAATTTGATTGGGGGGAAAAGGGGCCTTTTTGGTTTCAGGGAGAGATTCCAGATCTTTGGGCCCTTTTTGTCACTCATTTTTGCATATGTGAGATGACAAAAGGGTGTCAAAAAGTGTTTGCCCTCTGTTTTTGCTTGGGTTTTTTTGAAGTTTTCTAGTACAATCTGGTGGGGGGTTCATTGGAGTTTAATGTTGGTATATATAGTAGGCACAATAATAATGTGTATATTTTGTACATTAAGTTGGCAACTTTTTG